CTATAGAACCCACTTGGACACTGAACGGCCAAGGGCTACATTTGTTCAGGGTTCTTAAGTTATCTCCATGAATGGTCCTTGGTTTGAGTATCAGTCTCAGGATAGACCCCTGTGCTCAGATTTTTTGGTTCCTTTGCTCTCCTTGTGGAGTTCCTGCAATGCAGCCAGCCACTCCTGATGAGACCTAATTGACTAGGATCAGAAGGAAGGAAAAGAAGACCTCCCTTATCAGTGGACTTGGGGAGGGGAATAAGTGCAGAGGAGGAAGGAAGGGAGGGATTGGGACGGGAGGAGGGAGGGAACCACAGGGGGATACAAAGTGAATAAAGTGTAATTAATAAAGAATTTAAAATAAATAAATATTTAAAACTTTAAAAATTTTACAAGTAATAGGGGAAGAGGGTGAAGGGAGGAGGGAGAGAGGGGGGACTGGGGAAAGTTGAGGGAGGCTGCTTAAATCTGGATATATACTGAATAAATTGCAAAGAAATTAAATAAAATTTTAAAAAGTGCAAGTCTATACTATGGACAGGGAGTCTACCAATTGTGATACATGGTGCAGATAGCATGAACAAGGCCTTTACTCTAGTATTACTCAACATTGGGAAAGAAGAAAGGAGTTATACTATTATTTCTGTATTGTTTTACATCAAAATGAATTCATAATGACTTTATAATAAATAATCATATTTAGTATGTAATATTAAAATATATGAATTATATTTATTTAGTCTGATATCTTTAGAAAAAAAATATATATGGCTTCAAGAACCGGATTTTTTATTTAATTTAATTTATTTATTATACTTTATTCACTTTGTCTTCCTGCTGGAGCCACTTCCCTCCTCTCCTCCCAGTCCCACCCATATTTCTCTTATCTCCCTATGCTCTTTCACTAGTACCTTGATAAAGAATAACTCCTTGTACCCCTTACTAGGGATCACTTGAAAACTGAGCAGCCAATGGGCCTCCTTTGAACAGGCAGTCTAAGACCTCTCCATGCATAGTCCTTGGTTGGAGTATCAGTCTCTGTAGTCCTCCCTGGGCCCAGGTATTTTGGCTGTGTTGTTCTCCTTGTGGAGTTCCTCTCCCTCCATTTCTTTCTATCTTTCTCTTCTATAAGAATTCCAACACTGTGGTACGTTTACACAATGGAATATTACTCAGCAAATAAAGCAAGGAAATCATGAAATCTGCAGACAAATGGTGGGAACTAAAAAAGATCACCCTGAATGAGGTCATCCAGAAGCAAAAAGACACACATGGTATATACTCACTTATAAGTCGATATTAACCATAATATACAGGATAAACATACTAAAATCTATAGTCCTAAAGAAGATAAACAACAAGGAGGACACTAGGGAAGATTCTTAATCCTCATTCAGAGAAGCAAACAGGGTAGACATCAGAAGTAGGAGAAGAAATGGAACAGGACAGGAGCCTTCCACAGAGGATCTATGAAAGACTCTACCCACTAGGGTATTGAGACTCATTTTTTTATTTAATTATTTTTATGAATTACAGTTTATTCTCTTTTTATCCCTCCTGTACCTCCCTTCCTCTTCCCCTCCCAATCCCACCTGCCCCCTTCCCCACCTGTGTCCCTCTTCCAGTACACTGAGGCTCATATTTTTAAGTCCCATAGACAAGATTGATTTTTTTAAAATTAATTTGTATTTTTTGTGTACAATTATGCATTTCATTTGGTTTCTTTAAACCCCTCATGCTTGAAGCCCCCATGTATTTGTTGGATACTGTTACTTGAGTAACTTTGGACATAGAACATGATGTAATTAATTTTGTGTCTTTGCATCATATTTATGTATGCTGCTCTTTCTTTTTGTAATTTTTATTTTTTTATATTAATCACAGAGGAGAGGAGCTCACAGGGACAAAATACATCAAGGCACAGGGGTCATCTATAAAACTGTTTCTTCAACCAAGGACCATGTATGGATATAACCTAGAACCCCTGCTCGGATGTAGCCTATGGTAACTCAGTCTCCATGTGGGCATCCTAGTAAGGGGAACAGGGACTATTTTTGATATGAACTCAATGGCTGACTCTTTGACTCCCCCCTCCCCGAAGGAGGAGCAGCCTTACTAGGCCACAGAGGAGGACATGGCAGCCAGTCCTGGAGATACCTGATAAGCTAGGGTCAGAGAGAAGGGGAGGAGGACCTCCCCTAGCAGTGGACTTGGAAAGGGGCAGGGAGGAGATGAGGGAGGAAGGGTGGGATTGGGAGGGAATGAGAGAGGGAGCTTTGGCTGGGATACAAAGTAAATAATCTGCGATTAATATAATTTGTATTTTTTTATATGCATTGGTGTTTTTGTTTGCATACATAAGGCGGTCGGGTCCCCTGGAACAGAGGTTATAGACAGTTGTGAGCTAACATGTGGGTACTGGGAATTGAACCCAGGTCCTTTGGAAGAGCACACAGTGCTCTTAATGACTGCGCCAACTCCCCAGCCCCCATGAACATTTTATATGTATATATATATATGTATACATATATACATATATATATACATATATATATATACATATATATACATATATATATGTATACATATATACATATACCTTTCATCCTGACATCATATGCTTCCTTAGCTCAACATTCATATTGCTGTTATTCAGAATGTATCTTCTGTATGATTGCAGAATATAAATGAATGAATTTCCTTTAATTCATGCTAACATTAATGTATATACAAATGTATATATATGTATATGTATATATATATAAGTTTAGGAGACTATAAAATACTTTTCTTCACATAGCCTTATTTTTAAAAAGATGTTTGAGTGCAGTTTCTGGACATACTTTTTCTAGATAAAAACTTCACAACAAAAAATTGTAAAGTCTATTATAATAAATAATTTTGAAATGTTTAGTTCCCTGTAAGGTGGAGACTTTCAGAGAACTCTCAGTAGTAGGCTCCCATCATGGTGTCTTTCTTCCACCGCTTCTGGTTCTTGTCCTGTTTGCAAGTTTGAATGAGATTTAGGTATTCTCCCTAGTGTCCTCCTTAGTGTTTAGCTTCTTTAGGTCTCTAGATGCTTATCCTTTATTATATGACTAATATCCACTTACAAGTGAATATATACCATGTATGTCTTTCTGTTTTTCTGTTACCTCACTCAGGATGATTTTCCTTGTTCCCACCATTTGCCTGCAAATTTCAGGATTTCCTTGTTTATAATAGTTCAGTAGTATTCCATTGTGTAAATATACCACAATTTTTGCATCCATTTCTCTGCTGAGGGACATCTAGGTTGTATCCAGATTCTGGATAAAGCTGCTGTGAACATAGTTGAACAAATGTCCTTATTGAATGGGAGGATATCTTTTGGGTATATGCCCAGGAGTGGTAGACCTGGATCTTGAAGTAGTGCTATTCCCAATTTTCTGAGAAAGCACCAGCTTTATTTCAAAAGTGTTTGTACAAGATTGTACTCCCATCAGCAATGGTGGAGGGTTCCCCTTACTCCACATGCTCTCCAGCATGGCATGTTTTGTCACTTGAGTTTTTGTTCATAGCCATTCTGATATCTGTAAGATGGAATCTCAGTGTTGTTTTTATTTGCATTTCCCTGATGACTAATTGTTGAACATTTCTTTTTTTTAATTTTTTATTATCATCATTTATAACAATTTATTCAGTTTGTATCCCCGCTGTGGACCCTTCCCTCATCTCCTTCCAAACCCAACCTCCTCTCCCTAAGCCTCTCCCCTAGTCCACTGAGAGAGGCAGTCCTCCTTCCTTTCTGATTGACCCTAGCCTATCAGGTCTTATCAGGACTAATTGCGTCGTCTTCCTCTGTGGCCTGGCAAGACTGCATCTACCAGTGGGTGCAGAACCTACCACCGAGTTCATGTCAGCGATATCCCCTGCTCCCCTTATTAGAATACCTACTTGGAGACTGAATCTATAGGCTACATCTGAGCAAGAGTTTTAAATACTCTCCATGTATTTTCTTTGATTGGACTATCAGTGTTTCTCTGCCACTTGATATTCTTCTGTGGAGAATTCTCTGATTAACTTTGTACCCCGTTTTTTAAATTAGATTTTTTAGTTTGTTGGTGTCTAACTTCTTGAATTCTTTATATATTTTGCCTTCTTTCTTAATAAGTATTTACACACAGTGAAAGTTAGTCACAATTCAAGCCCATTTGATAGAAAATGGCGAAATGAATAATGAGCAACAAGGAACCAAAATCATAAGACTCGGCATGATAAACCATATTTCTTAGATCTAATCTATATATTTCATTAACAAAATTATATATTCCACCATCCACTTTATTTTATCTGCACATTAAAAGACACAACATGTTGGAATCTTATTTTTCCCTGGTTATAATTCATATGTTTCATTTCCATTAACATAAATCAGAAAAAAAGTCAATAAGTACTAACAATTAACTCGACATTGTTTTGGCCTCTCATCTGGCTCAGAAGGCATTTTGTCAATAAGATGTATAGAAACATTGCTACATCACCAAAAACAGTCTTGAGGGAAATAGACTTGTAATTTTATCATGTTGGATATTTGCAGAAACTACATTACTACTAAGGATGCCTCCACTTCTCCTTCTGGATAGGTTCCAACATAAGGCAAACACACACACATACACACACACAGGAGAACGTATGAAATAGAGACAGAGAAAGAATGAAAGCCACAGAACATACTATACCCTGCCCTAAGATGATTTCCTGCATCACAGATGCAATTACACTCATCAGTTCATCATATGGACCAGTAGTACCTAGGTAGATACTCTCATCCTTTCACAAAATATTCATAACACAATTTCTATGCATACTTGTTATGATGATTTTTCATAGCATGTTCAGTGAACATGGAAAAAGTCAGGAATTATATACTTTGTTCATCCTTCCAACTAAGCTTGCAGTACTGAAATATTAAAAATATTGCTGCAAAAATAAAGACAATATAAAAAAGGAAATCCCAAAAGTCTTACCTTAAGATACCATTTGTATTTAGCGTGTTCCCAATTTTCAGGATTTTTTGTCTTTTTGAAAAACTGTTCGACTTCTTTCAGCCATTGATTAAATACCTTCATATCATAATGAAAGTGTCGCCACTTATCCAACGATCTATCAAATTGCCTAGATTTAGAAAACATGAATGAAACAAAGTAAGTAGTTTATAAGAAATATTTTGTGAACATCACACATTCTTTTCTCTATTCTGACAAATGCATTTTTTTTGTACTGTCTTGCATCTCTAGATTTAATTTTCAATTATCAGACACAATAACTAATGTTAAATAGAAAGTGTGAATTGAAACAAAAATTATTTTTTCCTTTAAAATTTAACATATATATTAATTAAAATGAAGATTGGGCAATTACTTATAAGTATTAGCATCATTTTATATATATATATATTTATATATATATGATATATATATATATACATATATATATGATTTGGTGAATTTTTTTATTTTTTATTTTAACTTTTATTGATTACACTTTAATCACTTTGTATCCCTCCATAAACCCTTCCTTCCTTCCCTCCTAACCCCACCTTCCCTCCCCCTTCTCTATGTATGTCTAATGATAATTTTTAAAAATTACAGGGCCTTTAAACATTTTAAAATTGTAAAAGGTGTTTCAGAACCATACATTCATTTTTTAATTCGTTTGATTATTTTAATTCATTTTCAGTCTCATAAGGTTTATGAATTACAACATTCCTCCTGCTTCAAACTATAATTGAGATTATTAAGAATCCTGCTGCCTGCCAAAGTCCCTCCTCCCACCGTACCTCCATTCTATGGGGACTCTGACAAAATTTTGGTCTGACCCAGATTAGTTTCTTCTTGCAGACTGTTTTAAGCTCCTTTCTAGTCTATCCCAATTCCATTGTGTCAGCCACACCAAGTAACAGCTTCTACCATAGACACTCAGTGGCCACACAGGACTAGGACTCAGCTAGGCAATTTTCACTGTCCTTATTGTACTCTATTATTTTATATGCTGTCTGACCCTCAGCCCTATGATGGCATGTTTGCAGATGCCTTTCCTCTCCCATCAAGTACGTTCACTAGAGACTACAAACCATCCTACAGAGCCACTATTATACCCAGAGTCCAACACCAGCAAGTATTCCCCAAGAACATAGAGACACTCTGGCCAGTAAAAAAGACTGATCACCACACCATAAAGCACAGAGAGGAAACAGAAACCAAAAAAAAAA